TCTAAGTACACCATACACATGCAATGCCTGCCAAGGCCAGAAAGGGGCATGAGATTCCCCTGGGACTGGAGTTATGAATAGTTGTTAGCTGCTATGTGGGTGCTGAAAACTGAACCTGGGTCCTCTTCAAAGACCAAGCTCTTGGTCTTAACTGCTGAGCAATCTCTCCAGCTCCTGTGTTTGCTTACTGTCTCACTATGTAGCCCTGGCTGGCCTGGGACTCAAAATGTAGAACAGGCTAGCTTCAAACTCACAGAGATCCAGTGGTGGGAGTAAAGGTGTGTGCCACCTTTCTGGGCAAGATTGATTACATTTTAATTAATTATTTATGTATATGAGTGTTTGGCCTGCATGTGAGTGCATCTGTGTGTGTGCAATACCCATGGAAGCCAGAACAGGGCATTGGATCACCCGGAACTGGCATTACAAATTCTTAACCCCACCATGTGTGCTGGCAACTGAGCCCAGGTCTTCTGCAGAAGCAGTCAGTGTTCTTAACTACTGAACCATCTCTCTAGCCCCTATTTTTAAGTGTGTGTGTGTGTGTGTGTGTGTGTGTGTGTGTGTGTACATGAATGCAGATATCTTGAAGGCCACAAGAGGGCATTAGATACCTTGGAGCGCAAGCTAACAGACCATTGTAAGCTGACTAACATGGGTGCTAGGCTCTGAACACCAGTCCTCTGCAAATGCAGTACAAGCTCTTAATCACTGAGCTATTTACCCACTGAGCCATCCTGCTAGCCTTGAAAAAGCTTCTTCTTCTTTTTTTTTTTTTTTTTTTTTTTTTTTTTTAAAAAAAAAAAAAAAAAAAAAAAAGAGGACGATAAATCTTTCACTGTGATATATCAAAGAACTCACAGATCTGCCTGCCTCTGCCTCCCGAGTGCTGGGATTAAAGGCATGAGCCATCACGCCTGGCTTTTATTCATTATTTTTATTTTAATGTGTATGAGTGTATTGCCTGCATGTATGTGAGTGCACCCGTGTCATGCGATGCCACGGAGGTCAGAAGGCGGCTTTGGATTCCCCTGGAACTGGAGTTAAGGACGGTTCGTAGCAGCCATGTGGATGCTGGGAATCAAACCCGGGTTCTCTGCAAGAGCAGTCAGTGCTCTTAACCGCTGAGCCATCTCTCCAGCCCCTGAAAAATTTCTTTATAAAAATATTTTATTTTTATTTTTATCTTATTTATGTAAGTGTATTGCCTGCATGTATGTAAATGCACCCATGTCTTGCAGCAATGCCCAGAGAGGTCAGAAGGTGTCAGATCCCCTGGAACTGGAGTTGCAGTCAGTTGTTAGGCACCATGTAGGTGCTGGAAACTGAACCTGGGTCCTTTGCAAGAGCAGCCAGTGCTTTTAACTGCTGAACCATCTCTCCAGCCCCTCTCTTGAAAGTTTCTTAAAATGGTAAACATAAGTTTCCTTTATGACCTATCAATTTCACTTTTAGGATATTGTCAAAGAACAACAAAATATGGAAAAATAAAGGGGGCTGGGTATGTGGGCACACACCTGTAATCCCAACACTCAGGAGGTGGAGACAGGGGGATCAGTTACCTAAGGTCATCCTTAACTACACAACAAAGTTCCACACTAAAAAAAAAACAAACAAAAAAAAAAAACAAAAAAAAAAAAAAAACAAAAAAAAAAAGAACACTTGCTGTTCTTCCAGAGGACCCAGGTTCAATTCCCAGCATCTACATGATGGCTAACGGTCATCTGTAACTCCAATTCCAGAGGATTCAACACCCTTTTCTGGTCTCTGTGGGCATACACATAAAATAAAAATAATTTTTTTGGTCTTTTTGAGATAGGGTTTCTTTGTAACCTCAGTTGGCCTGGAGCTCGATATGTAGACCAGGCTGGCCTTGAACTCACAGAGATCCGCCTGCCTCTGGCTCCCAAGTGCTGAGACTAAAGTAGTGAGCCACCACACTAGAAATATAGATAGATAGATAGATAGATAGATAGATAGATAGATAGATAGATAGATATGTATATATATTTTTTTCTGGGTTTTTTTTGAGCCAGGGTTTCCCTGTAGTCCCAGCTTTCCTGGAACTCACTAGGTAGACCAGGCTGGCCTCAAACTCAGAGAGATCCACCTGCCTCTGCTTTCCAAGTGCTGGGATTAAAGGCATTCACCACCATATCCCGCCGAGAAAATATTTTTTAAAAAAGACTTTGTCTCAAAAAAAACCTATCAGGTATAACTAAATACATATGTAACTAAATAGAGTAGGTTTGGGGCTGGAGAGATGGCTCAGTGGTTAAGAGCACTGGCTGCTCTTGCAGAGGACCCAGGTTCAATTCCCAGCACCCACATGGCAGTTGACAACTGTCTATAACTATAATTACAGGGGATCTGACACCGTCATCTGACCTCCACCCTCTTCTGACCTCCAGGTGCACTTGCACACATGCAGGGCAGTACACTTATACACACAAAAAATAATAAACAAAGGGCTGGAGAGATGGCTCAACAGTTAAGAGCACTGACTGCTCTTGCAGAGGACCCAGGTTCAATTCCCAGCACCCACATGGAGGCTACGAACCTTCCTTAACTCCAGTTCCTGAGGAATTCAAAGCCGCCTTCTGACCTCTGCAGCATTGCATGACACAGGTGCATTCACATACATGCAGGCGATACACTCATACACACAAAATAAAAATAATAAATAAAATATTTAATAAAAATAAAATAAAATATTAAAAAATATAAATAAGGTGGTTCAAGAAGTGAGTCAGAATCTCTGGAAGTAGAAGTCCAGGAACTCTAGTTTTCCCCAGGATTCGGATGTTACCTAAAGTTGCAGTATCATTGTGTGTGTGTGTGTGTGTGTGTGTGTGTGTGTGTGTGTGTGT